GGGATTCAAGACCAGTCTGGGCAACTTGGCAAGACCTCATCTCGAGTGTGGAGGCATGCACCTGTGATTCCAGTTACTGGCAGGGAGGCGGAGGAGAAACTGAGGCAGAAGGATCACCTGAGCCCAGGAAGTTGAGGCTGCAGTAGTGTGATCATGCCACTGTGCTCCAGCCTGGACAACAGAGTGAGATCCTGATTCAAAAAAAAAAAGAAAGAAAGAAAGAAAAAAAAAATAGGAGAAAGTATTGTTAAGGGAAAAAGGTTATAAGATGCCTTCAGAATAACTTCTAAAAGTGAAAAACAAATTTTTTAAAAAACTGAATAGAATTATAGTATTTCAAAGAGCAAAGGTACAAGGACTACCTAACTCATGAATGCTTAGTTAATGTGTAACATTTACTGAAGGAGAAAGAGACACATTTAGAAAAACATAAAATGGTTACATGGGAGTTCAAAGCATTTATAAAAGTTTCTTTTGCTGGGCTCGGTGGCTCAGCCTGTAATCCGGCGCCTTTGGGAGGCTGAGGTGAATGGATTGCCTGAGCCTGCGGGTTCGAGACCCGCCTGGGCAGCAAGACCTCATCTCTACAATAAATCAAAAAATCAGCCAGGCGTGGTAGTGCATGCCTGTAATTACGGCTACTTGGAAGGCTGAGGCGGAAGAATCGCTGGAGCCCAGCAGGTCAAGGCTGCGGTGGCCAGGAGCGGCCACTGCACTCTAGTCTGGGTGACAGAGTGAGACTCCAACTCAAAAAAATAAAAAAATTAAAAATAGATAAATAAATAAATCATTTTTTAAAAGTTTCTTTCTTAGCCCTAGTGCTTAACATCTCACTAGAAGCCATTCCACTTATTCACCTTGCATACAAGGCTTCAACACTACATATTTTTTTTAAAAAGTCGCCTGCGGGTTCGAGACCCGCCTGGGCAGGCGAGAGCTCATCTCTACAATAAAATAAAAAAAAATTAGCCGGGCGTGGTAGCGCGTGCCTGTAATTCCAGCTACTTGGAAGGCTGAGGCGGAAGGATCGCCAGAGCCCAGCAGGTCGAGGCTGTGGTGGCCGGGAGCAGCCACTGCACTCCAGTCTGGGCGACAGAGTGAGACTCCAATGCAAAAAAAAAAAAAGTCACAGGTCATGTTTTCCTAAGCTTTGGCCCCCTTCCCTACCTTGGGAGGGTGAATTTTTCTCTCTCTCTAATCTACTTTCTAAATAAACTATATTTTCCAAACTAAAAAAAAAATCACCATGCTACTATAATAGCCTAGAACTATGGTATACAGGCTGAATCTAACTAAACAAGAGTACCATAACCTGCCCATTGCAATCATTCTCAAAATCACTAAGAATGCTATGGAAATACAGTTTCCTCTGGATATATGTGTACTTCCTTCTTTTAGAAATGATAATTCACTTAGTTGTAAATTATTTTTTTGAAAATATATCATTCCCTTCGAGCGTAGTGGCTCACACTTGTAATCCCAGCACTTTGGGAGGTAGAGGCAAGAGGACTGCCTGAGCCCACAGGTTCTAGTCCAGTCCGGGCAACATGGTGAGACCTCATCTCTACAATAAAACAAAAAAATTAACTGGGCATGGTGGCGCATGCCTGTAGTTTCAGTCAGCTATTTGGAAGGTTGAGAATTGCCTGAACCCAGCAGTTCGAGACTGGGATGGCTGTGAGCATGCCACTGCACTCCAGCCTGGGCGACAGAGTCAGACTCCAACTCAAAAAAAAGAAAAGAAAAAATATAATTCCCAAGTGAGACTTGCTTTAAAAACTTTGTGTAATTTTTTTTTTAATATTATGTGATTAGAGTTAATACTATGCATACTTGCTTCATTCAAAACTATCTTACACAGAACATCATTATGAAAATATAAAAAGATCAGTACTAAAATGCATTAGAAAAAATGATTTAAGGCCGGGGGCGGTGGCTCATGCCTATAATCCCAGCACTTTGGGAGGCCGAGGTGAGAGGACTGCCACGGGTTTGAGACCAGCCTGGGCAACTTGGTGAGACCTCATCTCTACAATAAAACAAAAAATTAGCCGGGCGTGGTGGCATACGCCTGCAGTTCCAGCTACTTGGAAGGCTGAAGTGGAAGGATCACCTGAGCCCAGCAGGTCGAGGCTGCGGTGGCTGCAAGTGTGCCACTGCAATCCAGCGTGGGCGACAGAGTGAGACTCTGACTCCAAAAATAAAAGAAAAAAAAATAATAATAATAACAATAATTTAAAAGAAAATATAAAAAGCCAATTGTGAGAACACTGGCTTGTTCTCAAAGGCCATTTACAAGACAGTATCTACAGCACAGCAATTCATGAATCATGAGGTCTGGAGCAGATACCCTCAGTTTAAATCCCAGCCTCACTATGTCCACCTCTGACTCAGATTATGCAACTTTACCTATGTGTATCTTGAGTTCCTGACTCAGTAAAGTAAGGGTCACGGAATCTACACCACAGAGTTGTTGTGGGAATGAAAAGAGTTATTACTCAGAGTGGTTAGAACAGTGCCAAGCCCATAGTAAATAAATGCTCATAAATGATGGCTATGGCAAAAACTGCAATTTAAAATGTCTACTCCAATTAATCCTCAAGAATACATCTATAAGAAAATTTATTATGTTCCAGACTAAAACTCTTACCTTTCACTCAACTTTCTCTCCACAATAACTGCATTCAATTAAGTGAAATTTTTTTTTCTTTCTGATCATTTTCTTTTCTTTTCTTTTTAGTTGGAGTCTCACTCTGTCACCCAGGTTGGAGTGCAGAGGGGCATGCTCATGGCCACTGCAGCCTCGACCTGCTAGGCTCACGGGCTCAGGCGATCCTTCCAAGTAGCTGAAACTACAGGCATGCGCTACTATGCGTGGCTAATTTTTTTTTTTTTTTGAGTTGGAGTCTCACTCTGTCACTCAGACTGGAGTGCAGTGGCCACTCCTGGCCACTGCAGCCTTGACCTGCTGGGCTCCGGCAATCCTTCTGCCTTGGGCTTCCAAGTAGCTGGAACTACAGGCTCATGCTACCATGCCCAGCTAATTTTTGATTTATTGTAGAGATGAGGCTCGCCAAGTTGCCTGGGCTGGTATTGAACCGGCAGGCTCACGCAATCCACTCACCTCGGTCTCCCAAAGTGCTGGGATTATAGGCTGAGCCACCTAGCCCAGCCTTTTCTTTTTTTTAAAGCAGGATTTATTGAGAGGACAGAAAAGCTCCCACAGTGGGAGGGAACTCGAAGGGGTTGCTGCTCATCACTTTCTAAATGCAAACTTTGTAATGTAATACTAAAACCCAATAGTACTATTCTATACAAAATACCAACCTTACTGTGCTATATAAAGAGCTTATACATTCCTCAGAAAGCACATAAAAAGTGAAAGAGGTAACAAAAATCAGAACCTGACTCCCAAACTAGGTTTGCAATCCCTAGCTGATACTACTTTTAGTAAAAATCCATCTTGTGTGGACAAAATACCTCATTACTGATAAGCACAATTGTTCTAGAGGATTTATTTAGCTTTACTAATGTTCTAGGCTCATTTCACCCAACCAAAACCAAATCGAAGAAGGCAACTGTGGTTCATTACTAAATCAAATGATGTCACACTAATCTGCAGTATAGTAAGATTTTCTGAGCTGAAATTAACTTAAGAATAACATTTTTTAAAACAATGTAATCACTGCATCAATCAACAGAAATCAATTTAATAACATTCTCTTACAGGAGTTTTTAACCTAGGATTGGTAAACCTCCTGAAATTATACACACAGAAAATCTTACATGTGTGTATATGTGTGTTTTTCTAGGAAGACGGCCCCACACTTTTATAAACTGAGTGAAATCCGAAAAGGTTGGGGAGACTCACTGCTCTTTACGGTCTACACATTTCTTTCTATTCTTTTCTTTTACATGCTGGCAAGTATCTTTCTATTCTTACACACTATTGGTTTCAAAAAAGAACCTGCTTATATAAAAGTAAGCAGTGTAATTCTAAATCCACCTCAAATTTCACATTTCCCAAATAACCGTGGATGTATGCAACATAAAATCACAGCTACTAGAACACTCCCAAATTTTCCAGAAGTTCTCGGAGTCTAATACCGTTCCCAGAACTGTAATTAAGGAGTAATGAGAAACAAGGAGAGCGGAAAAACCACGAAAAAAGAATAAACCTACGCCGACTACCGAGTCATCCAGATGTACAGAAATGCGGGACACCGTGATAACAAGGGCAAACCTCCGATACCGATTAAACAGTCACAACTGCCGACAAAGCCCCGATTTCAGCTTTCTGTAGTTGGAGAAGGCAGTTTAAGGGAAAGGGCTTGTCACAGGCTGTAACATCGTTGCAGTTTCAGGAAGACCTTGAGCTCCAAGAAAAGTTTTAATGCCCCTAAATCCAGGCAGTATTTTGATTTACTTTACAACCGCCTGGTAATTTAACACCTTATCAGCAAAACCAGGTGACACTTAGCAGACTTCTTTCAGCGCACTGGCGACCACTGTTCTCACAATAATCCGCTCTGGATAAGTGACAGCAGCTATCAGTTCGAACCTACGAGTCTCTAAGTCCCGCAACAGCTAAGCACACGATGAGTCCCAGCCGCAGGAAGCCGGCGAGCCGCCCGAGAGCGTCCCCTCCCTGCCCCTGGGGACCGCACCTCTTTGTGCACTAGGGTCTGAGGACTCGGGCCCGCAAACTCCGGCCCGGATGCGACGCCCCGGGGGAACACCGCGTCGCCAACCTCAGGAAGCCCCCGCCCGGCCGCGGAAGCGTCCACAGAGGCAGCCGGGCGAGACCCAGCGGGACTCCTGACGCCAGACGCTGTCCCGCCGGGCCCAACACCGGGACGGGGAGCAGGCACCCGGGACCGGGCCTCAGGCCGGCGGGGCCAGAGGAGCCGGCGGAGGCTGAGGCCGGGTCCAGTGCTGGCCGGCTGCACCCCGAGGCCCGTGGGCCGGCGACAAGGGCATGAGGCAGCAGGCGGACGCACCTGGCGGGGACCCTCGACGACCGGCTCCGGAGCTAGCGCGGCGCCCGTTGGACTCTCTCAGCATCCGTCGCTGCCCCTCCTCCCGGCCCAAGGCCACTCCACGTTCCGCTCCAACGTGGCAGCCGCAGCCCCGCCCTGCCGGCTGGCCGCCACTTCCGGGGGCGACGTCTGCCCCGCCCACTCGGCGCACGGGCCGCACGGCACTTCCGGAGCGGCGGTCGGCAGGGGGCGTGGCGCTCGGTGCGACGGGGGCAGGGCTCGCTGAGACTCAGCGCGCGTGCGCCAGATCCGGATCCGTCTTCTGAAAGTCTGTAAGCAGAGGGCGGGTGTGGTGGCCGGAGACTGGGTGGAGGGAAACCCCTGCTACGTGTCTCCGTCTACCCGAAAAACGACGCGGCCTGCAAGAAAGCCACGTAGCACTAGCTCCTTGAAGCGTCAGCAGCCCCTGGCGACAGTGCCAGCGCCAGGTAGACCACGTGGAAACTGGGGCTGCAAGGGCCTTATTGCAGTTTCTTGGCTCTTAAAATTGCTTACTTGGGGGTCGGGCGTGGTGACTGAAACCCGCATTCCCAGCACTTTGGGAGGCCGAGGCGGGAGGATCGCTTGAGCCCAAGAGTTCAAAACCAGAGAGCAGACTTGGCAACATAGCGAGACCTCTGTCTCTACAAAAACTCAAAAAGGTGGCGTGCACCTGTACTCCAGCTACTTAGGAGGCCGAGGCGGGAGGATCGCCTGAGCCCAGGAGGTTGAGGCTGCAGTGAGCCATATCGTGCCACTGCACTCCGGCCCGAACGGGAGAGTGAGAGCTCGACTCAAAAAAAAAAACAACTGCTTATTTGTTCTTCGTTGTTTGGAGAACTATAAAGAGAAATGGTCTGGTCATACCCGAAGACTGTTGTGGACGCTTGATTTATTACTTCGAAAGGCACAGTTGGGGCGAGTTATGTCAAGTCCGTGAGTGTCCTTTCGCACTCTGACTGTCCCATGTTATTACTTGAGATGCGTTAGCACTTGCCCTCGGCGACTGTGACCTTACAAGTTACCCCAGAGCCTTGCATCCCATGAGGTAAAGCCAGAGGAAAATCACCTGCTGAAATACCAGAAACTGCATTCAATCCAAGTCTCCTAACTTCTAGGCAGGTCATCTTCCCATTACACCTTGTCATTCAAAACCAACTCTGCTGGGCGCGGTGACTGCACTTTGGGAGGCTAAGATGAGAGATTGCCTGAGCCCAGGGGTTCAAGACCAACCTGAGCAACATGGCGAGACGACGTCTGTACAGTCAGTTTTAAAATTAGCCGTGTATGGTGGCGCTTGTATGTGGTTCCAGCTTCTTGGAAGGCTGAGGCGGAAGGATCACCTGAGCCCAGCAGGTTGAGGCTCCAGTGGCCGTTAGAATGCACTGCACTCCAGCCTGGGAGACAGAGTGAGACTACGATTCAAAACAAAAAAAATCCTTTCCTCCGATTCAAAAAAAAAACACCTCTTACCTGTTGATGAAAAGATGCCAAACTCTGTAAAATATTTTCATATGGTTTATTCTTGAGCCAAGCTTGAGGACTTAAGCCCGGGTACGCCCATCCTCAGGAGGTCTTGAGAAAGAGGGTCCACCATGGCTGAATGGCGGCTTGATTTTATACTTAGGAATATGGAAGTTATAAGAAACTGTAAATCAATACATGTGAGATTCTCATAGGTTTGGCCAGGGAGAGAGGGACCTTTCCAAGCTAGGGCTCGCAGGTCATAGGTGGGTTTAAAGTTTTCTTGACTGGTAATATGTAGTTCTTATCAGGAGATGAGATGTCTTGCTGAGACAAAGGGCAAGACTTGAGGTTTGTTGATATATAGATGAAGTTAAGATGTTTTGTTGAGACACAGGGTGGAAAGAGTCTGGGCTTACTGACATGTAGATGAAGTTAAGACCTGGCAGGCTACAGAGAGGATGGACAGAGGTCTTACAAGATTCCTTGAGAGTACTGGAATCCACAAGACATGGCTTTTCAGAGCCATAAGATACTTTGACTTCCCTCTTTGTTATGTGATATTATTCTAGTCAGGTAGAAAAACAATAGGGCAATAAAACCCTGTTGCTGAGTCCTCATCAGCCAGGGACTCCCCAAGCCTCTTAGGAATTTGGGTAAGAGAAAAGGTTCAGATTTACTCCTCATTCCTAAGGCCTTTCTTTCCTAGCTGCCTTCTCTGGAAGTAATGGTTCTGCCTTTTGTACAGAAAAAAATAAGTGAAATATGGTAAACACTCCTATTTAAGTATCAGAGAGTAGAAACATTTTTGTACTCACTGCACTTATCCTAGCACCCTTTCCTACACGTGGTTCAATTAAAAAAGCAAAAGTAGCTGGGCTCTGTGGCTCAGCCTGTAATCCCACCCTTGGGAGGCTGAGGTGAGTGGACTGCCTGAGCTCGTGGGTTCGAGACCGGCCCAGGCAACTTGGCGAGACCTCATCTCTACAATAAATCAAAAATTAGCTGGGCGTGGTAGCGCACACCTGTAGTTCCAGCTACTTAGGAAGGTCGAGGCTGCAGTGGCCGGGAGCGGCCACTGCACTCCAGTCTGGGTGACAGAGTGAGACTCCAACTCAAAAAAAAAAAAGCAAAAGTTTATTTCTATAGGATTGTAATAGACCAGCTCAGGAACATTAGTTCACCCTTGAAGAACGCTGACCCTAAGCAGTCAAATATCATAACTTTTGACTCAAAAACGTTACTACAAATAACCTGTTGACCAAAAATAGTCAACACATATTTTATATGTGATATGTATTATATACTGTACTACATGTTTACAATAAAGCTAGAGGGAAAAATTTTAAGAAAATATATTTTCTATTCATTAAGTGGAAGTGGATCATTACAAAGGTCTTTGGGTTTGAGAAGACTGAAGAGAAGGAAGTCTGGGGAGTAGCAGAGGAAGGAGAAAATCTGAATCTAAAGTTTAAACCTGTGCTGTTTAAGGGTCAACCATACTAACTTAAAGTGGGTAATTTCTAGTATGTCTTTTTTTTCAGTTGGACTCCCACTCTATCGCACAGGATAGCTTGCAGTGGCATGCTCACAGCCACCGCAGCCTCAGCCTGGTGGGCTCAGGCGATCCCTCTGCCTCATCCTTACAAGTAGATGGAACCACAGGCACAAGCCATTACCCCCGGCCTGGGCGACAGAGTGAGACCTGGACTCAAAAAAAAGAAAACTATATGAAATTTAAATTTTGTCCATAAAGTTTTATTGAAATACATCCTTAATCACTCAATGGTTTGTTTATATATTGTCTAAAGCTGCTTTTTCTATACAAGAGTAAAAGTTGAATAACTGCAACAAAGATCATATAGTCCTCAAAGCTAAAAATATTTACTATGCAACCCCCTTTTTTTTTTTAACCCTTGCTGGGCTCTGGTGATCCTTCCACTTCAACCTTCTGAGTAGCTGGAACTACAGGCATGCTATCACACCTGGCTAATTTTTTATTTATAATAGAGACAAGGTCTTGCCAAGTTGCCCAGGCTGGTCTTGAACCTGTGGGCTCAGGCAATCCACTCACTTCGGTCTCTCAAAGTGCTGGGATTACAGGCTGAGTCACCAAGCCCAGACCTTTTTTTTTTTTTTTTTTTTTGAGTAGGAGTCTCACTGTGTCCAGGCTGGAGTACAGTAGCACACTCATGGCCACCGCAGCCTCAACCTGCTGGACTCAGGCAATCCTTCAGCCTCAGCAGTTGAAGTAGCTAGAACCACAGGTACCTGCCACCACGCCTGGGTAATTTTTTGATTTATCGTAGGGATGGTCTCACCAAGTGGCCCAGGCTGGTCTCGAACCTCCTGGTGTCAGGCAATCCTCTCATCTCGGCCTCCCAAAGTGCTGGGATTATAGAAATGAGTCACCCGCACCCGGCCACTATGCAACCCTTTACAGGAAAAAATTATCAATCTCTGTTAGACAGGGATTTTTTTTTGGTCTCATAAAGGCAGATTTTATTGGGGCAACGAGGCCACCCTGTACAAGCTGGCCCCTCCCTCCTTCCACCTCAGGCTCCTGCCCGCAAGCACCCGGGCCCCACAGACGCTCACAGGCTCTCGAGTCTTGACAAGGTCTTGCCATGTTACCCAGACTGGACTTGAACCTGTGGGCTCTGGCAGTCCTCTCACCTGGGCCTCCCAACGTGCTGAGATTACAGGCATGAGCCACCGTGCCCGGCTCAGATAGGGTTTTGCCTACAAATGGATTAATACTCAAAATCCATACATGAGACATTCAGTATTATAAATTTTTATTTCAATGCTTTGATACAGCAGCAAAGACAGTATGTGCTAGGGACAGTGGTTCACATCTATAATCCCAGCACTCTTGGGAGGCTGAAGTGAGAGAATTACCTGAGCCCAGGGCTTGGAAACTAACCTGGGCAACTTGGCAAGACCTTGTCCCTACAATCAATCAATAAATAAAAAATTGGCCAGGCTCGGTGGTTCAGCCTGCAATCCCAGCACTTTGGGAGGCCAAGGTGAGAGATTGCCTGAGCCCACTGGTTCGAGACCCACTCAGGCAACTTGGGGAGACCTCATCTCTACAATAAATCAAAAAATTAGCTGGGCATGGAAGCACGCGCCTGTAGTTCTGGCTACTTGGAAGGCTGAGGTGGAAGGATCACCAAAGCCCAGCAGGTCAACGCTGTGGTGGCCGGGAGCAGGCTGCTGCACTCCAGTCTGGGTGACAGAGTGAGACTCTAACTCAAAAATAAAAATAATTAGCTGGGCGTGGTGGCACATGCCTGTAGTCCCAGCTACTTGGAAGGCTGAAGTGGAAGGATGGCCTGAGCCTGGCAGGTCGAGGCTGCAGTGGTGATTGTGCCATTGCACTCCAGGCTGGGCGACAGAGACTATGACTCAAAAAAAAAAAGATAATAAAGTAAAAATATAAAGATGAAACAAATATGAAAAGCAAACATATCTGGGTGTTGTGGCTCCTGTCTGTAATCCAGTACTTTGGGAGGCTGAGGTGAGAGGGTTACCTGAGTCCACGGATTCAAGACCAGCCTGGGCAACATGCCAAGACCTCATCACCACAATAAATCAAAAAAATTAGCTGGGCATGGGGGCACACACCTGTGGTCCAGTACTGAGAAGGATGAGGTGGAAGGATTGCCTGACCCCACCAGGTCAAGGCTGCTCTGGCCGCGAGGGTGCTACTACACTTCAGCCTGGGCAAGAGTAACTCAAAAAGAAAAAACAAATTTCTGGGCAGCAGGCTTCAAGTTGAAGTTCCCACCACCCTTTTGGGTTCAATGGATCTGAGGAGGAGGAGTGAAGCAGGAAGTTCTGCCAAGCTCCCATGCCCTCCCTGGCATGCCAAGCTTTCACATCTTACCTGTCCAGCAGCTCTCCATCACAGTCCTTTTGTTTAATGAGTAGGAGTCTGTCACCCAGGTTGAAGTGCAGTGGCATGATCACGGCCACTGCCGTCTCAACCTGCTGGGTTTAGGCAATCCTTTTGTCTCAGCCTTCCAAGTAGCTGGAACCACAGGTGCACACCACCACTCCCGGCTAACTTTTTTGATTATCGTAGAGACAAGTTCTCACCAGATTGCCCAGGATGGTCTTGAACCCCTGGGCTCAGGCAATCTTCTCACCTCTGCCTCCCAGAGTGCTGGGATTATAAGCGTGAGCCACCGTGCCCTCATTTAAATAACCTTTTTGAGTTGGGGTCTCACTTTCACCCAGTGGCATGATCATGGCCACTGTAGCCTTGATAGCTTGGGCTCAGGCTATCCTTCCACCTCAGCCTCCTGAGTGCTGGGACTATAGGCGTGCACCACCACACCCAGCTAAGGTTTTGATTTATTGCTATGTTGCCCAGGCTGGTCTCAAACTCCTGAGCTCAAGTAATCCTTCCACCTCAGTGTCCCAAAGTGCTGGGTTTACAGGTGTGGGCCTCTGCATCCAGGCTTGTTACAATAACCTTAAGTCCACAAGAAGTGAAGTTCTGGACAAAACAATCACAAGGCACAAGCAGGTATATACATGCAATCTTCTCCATGGCAGACAGTACCATACTACACCTCAGTGAAACAGTGGCAACCATTTCATTAATGCTCACTTTTATTGTTTATTTTTTATTGCATTTATTTCACAAATCTGTTCATTAAGTGCTACAAACAAAAGTTTGTATCAACTTTTATGTTAGTCTAAACAATAAAAAATTAAGCCAACATTAAACATGAATAGACAGAATTTTCCCCTTTATGTTTGGGTGCTATACAAGGGAACTTCAAAAACTTTGTGGGGAAAAAAATGGAATTAGAAGATAAAAATAAAAGCTGTATTTTGGCTGGGCTCGGTGGCTCAGCCTATAATCCCAACACTTTGGGAGACTGAGGTGAGTGAATTGCCTGAGCCTGCGGGTACAAGACCCACCCAGGGAGCTTGGTGAAACGTCTCTACAATAAATAAAAAATTAGCTGGGCGTGGTAGCGTGCCTCTAGTTCCAGCTACTTGGAAGGCTGAGGCGGAGGGATCGCCAGAGCCCAGGTCGAGGCTGCGGTGGCCGGGAGCATGCCACTGTACTCCAGTCTGCGTGACAGAGTGAGGCTCCAACTCAAAAAAAAAAACCCCAAAAAACCTTATTTCCCAACGGGAGCTCCATCAAGTTGAAGACACTATTACAAGTGATGACACCAGCCATTTAGTCCATTCCTAAAGACCTGAGGATACTGGGCATTTAACCATGTCAGTATGGTCTTTACACTATTAACTGAATAAAAATTAGTACCCTTTAAAGATTTTTTTTTTTTTTTGAGTCAGATTCTCACAATCACAACTCACCATAGCCTCAACTTCCTGAGCTTAAGTGATCCTCCTGCCTCAGCCTCCCGAGCAACTGGAACTACAGGCATGTGCCACCATATTGGCCAAGATTTTTTTTTTTTTTTAAAGATTAAGAAACAAAAAATACTCAGAAGAAGTCAAATCAGGACTATAAAGTGAGTGCCTATGATTTCCCACTGAAACTCTCACAAAACTACTCTTGTTTGATAACAGGAACAACAGCATTGTTGTGATGGAGGACTCCCTGGTGAAGCTTTTCTGGGCGTTTTTCTGCTAAAGCTTTGGCTAACTTAAAACACTCATAATAAGCAGATGTTACTGCTTTTTGACATTCCAGAGAGCCAACAACCAAAATGCCTTGAGCATCCCAAAAAGCTGTTGCCATGGCCTGTGTCCTTGTCTGGTCTTGTGCTGTGACAGTTCTTGGTGGCTGTACTCTGTGCTTTGTCTGGAGGATCATGTTGGTAAAGGCATACATCTCCTGTTAACAATTCTTTGAAGAAGCTGGGCTCAGTGGCTCAGCCTGTAATCCTGCGCCTTGGGAGGCTGAGGTGAGTGGATTGCCTGAGCCCGCGGGTTTGAGACCCGCCTGGGCAACTTGGCAAGACCTCATCTCTACAATAAATCAAAAAATTAGCCGGGCTGGTAGTGCGCGCCTGTAATTCCAGCTACTTGGAAGGCTGAGGCGGAAGGATCGCCGGGAGCCCA